CTGGTCACCACCCCCCCAACCCCGCCACCGCCTTCTGAAGGCAGTCACCACTCACCACCCTGTCGCCACCAGCTTCTGCGGGAGGTTGTGCTCGCCACCCCGCTGCTGCTGCCAGCTTCTGCGGGTGGTCACCCCTCGCCACCTTCCCCTGACCCCACTGCCGACACCGCTGCCTGCTTCTCTGGGCGGTCACCACTCAACATCCCACCGCCGATGCTGCCGCCCACAAACTGTACCCCACCCCCACCCCCCAATCTCAGGAGGCACCAGTCACCCATGACTTCAGACCCATTAGGTCAGGCTACATCAATCAAAGTAATCTAGTAGTGGGCCAATGTGTGGCCATACCACCTTGAATCCCAATTCCCACTCAAAAGGGAGAGGAAGAGAGCTGCCATGCTGCTGTATATAGGAATAATGTGAAGGTATCGGCCCCGTTGGCTAAAAACAGAAAGGGTTCAACTTACACAGGTCTGACACTGACTGAAATGGCACTGGACTGTAGATGACAGAGAACTTTTTTCAGTTGATGTGGTTTCAATCACGTATTAAACTCCAGGACAGGGCATATAAGCTTCACTTTTCCCAATATCATTACAAATAAATAACTACACTGAGACTATAGGGGTTTTATGCCATTAACAGTGGAGGTAGATACCTGCCAGAAATGCTTTCGCAAAGTGTCATGGCACATTGTATATTCTCTCTTGATTCACAACTGTAGGAGCTAGGAGGCCAGGGAAAAACACTATGTTGGCCAAAGCTTATCGTATATATCTATATCTATATAAAAACCTAATCTTGTTATTGGAAATAAGGTGGAAATCTACCCCCACCTTCTACTTCAGCTTTACAGAAACCAGATTTATTGCAAGGAGATGGTGAGGCTTCAGGTTGACCAGCTGGTATTTACCAAGGCCCTCAAAGGGCACAGAGAGAAATTATTACTAAAGGTAATATAACTTGGTATTAGTTTCCATTTTATAAATATTATTACATCTTTAAACTAAACCTCACTCCAGTGTTAAGATATTATTAATAATATTAAATCAACTGATTGAATTTTCTTGAGTTTTTAGAGGATGTTTTCATTCTGTTTTGGTCTTATCATATTACCCTGTTAAGCCACATCTCCAGCAGCTTGAAGTAAGTATAAAAAATCACAAGTTCTTGAGCTTCAAATGCTAGACTGGGGTGGGCAGCCTATGGTCCCTGAATTGGATCCAGCTCACAGATCCATTGGATATGACCCACAGAGCTCGGGGGCTTCAATTGCATTTTGATGGCAGTGGGTTTTGCCTGCATCCCACCTGGGCAGTGGGGAGTTTCACCTGTACCACAGCCAAGAGGTGGGAGCTTCACTCATCCCACGGCCTCAGATCCCAGCCCTCAGACTGGGTCATTCTGGACTGCTGGTATAAATATTGCAAACCACCATACTAGATGCCTTGTCCTTTCAAAGAGAACGAGAAAGCCAGGACCAAAGTGGAGTGCAAGAAATTGTTTGATATTCTCAGCAAAACACAAGGCAAAAAGGGCTTAAGCTGACCTTGAGTGGAGCTGGAAGTGAACATCTTTGCTCATCAAGACGACTGCCCTGCAAACAAAGAAGAAGAGATGGTGAAATGCTACATTTTGTCATGCCTATTTCATCCCCAAAATGCCCCAGAATATCTTCTTTATGTCTTATGACTCCAACATGTGTGCTTTGGAGAGATCTTTCACAGTGCTTTCTTGAATGTCCTGTTTTAGATAAGGTTAAAGATGAGGGCCAAAGAAAGAGTTGGAGAAGATGGAGTGATATGGAAGCAAAAAAGTTGACTAATCTCCTGCTAAAGGCAAAACATTGGGGCTTAAGTTAACATCCCCCCATTACCAAGTACAGAGTAAAGAAAGAATGGGCGCATCTACACATCGCACTATGGTGACATAATGATGCGCTGCATCGCCTTATGGCACGCTCCAGTGATGTAGTAATTACATGTGTCCACACATGATTGCCAGCTACATTGCTGCAGTGGTGCACTCCCCAGGTATAGAGTGCTGCTATGGCGACTTAGTGGCAAAATCTACCCATGCACTGCACACATGGCACAGTAACCTCCCATACTACACCATGCTTTAGTACTTCCTTTAGGAAGTACTAAAGCATGGCACTGTAGCAATTTCACCATACGGTGAGGTGTAGATGTTCCCAATGATTCCTAAAATGCCCATTAACTGCTTCCATTAACAGAAGCAGCCAAATTTGCTTTAGGCATTGAAGCTTGGGACAATAAGTTTTTTGCTTATGAGATGACTGGAACATCCTGCCTCCATCTAGGTCATGGAATGAATCTGTGCCCTGAAGATAACAGGCACTATTATTAGCTAAGTATCAGAGATACACAGGAAACCAGAAAAAGAGTCTGTCCCCATATTGGCGTAAATCTCTTTTCTCATTAAATCAGTGTCACAGAGATGCAAGGCAACCTTCAGAGTATATCTCCAACTATGTCTGTTATCCTCCCCTGTGCTCCCTCCACGCCTCTGTAAAGAAAGATGGAATAAATAAATCCAGTTCATACTATTCTCAAGAGTAGGATTACCACCTGTTCTTATATCATCTGGACAGTCTTAATTTCTGGCCTTGAGTCCTCTGTTCTCATTGAATATGTTAGGTATACTCATGTATCCCTCCTTCCAGTTTCAGCAGGTTGGGGTTGTGGGGCTTTTTTGTTTGTTTTCCTAACAAAGTAGTCCTCCTTCAACCTTGAACTTCAAGGTCCCGCCCTACTCTGGCTCCTCAGCCTAATTTCCAGGGCTTTCCCTACAGCTCAGTCTGCTGCTCCTTTCTTGTAAGCTACCCAGCAGCCCTGGGTTCACCCTACTATAACGACCCTCTTTAGCGGAGATTGCTGGATTTCTCGTTTCCCCTCTAGGACACAGTCTAACCTGCTGATCGCAACAAGGGAGAAAGCAAAGCACCTGATTGTCTATGCATATGAGAACTGAAATAAAAGAGATATCCACAAACAGTCTAGAAAAGAAAAGGGCCTATTCCTTTAAGGATGAGTGGCTATCAGGGGTATCAGAGCTTGACTTAGTAGTGTAAGCTGAAAATGGCTAAATGCACCACATGCCCATTGTCATTCCCTGTTACAAACAAAGATTCTGGCACTTTGAAAAGCACCTGAATGCATAGAAACATCCACAGTAAGCTAGGATCAAGGAATGCAGCCTTGTGGCTAAATATTTCACAACCCAGGACATTGCTGAGGGGTAGACTCTGGTCAAACAGCTGATATAGTAATAGGCACAATTCTGAAGATGGCTTAAAGATGAAAACATTGTGGGGGGGGGGCGGGGGGCTAGTCATCCACCATTTAATAATAAGGAGAAATTTCATTTTGCAATCTGAAAGCCTCATAACCAGACTTGCTGCAAACAAACTGTACTGATCAGGTACTGAATAGCACAACTAAACATGGGTAAAAAGAGCATATTGTGGAAAGTTTGACAGTTCAGAAATAAATCAGCTCTACTATGAAAATGAAAGGATTCCAGGAATGTTTTCATTCCTGAAAGAGAAACATAGTCATCTTTTGTGGTATGCTCCAGTGAAGCTGTCAGTTCTTCAAGCCATTGAAAGACTTTTGAAATCCTGGAGAGCTGATTATACTTCATTTTGAAAGAGCAAGAAAATAGTGATACGGGATATTATCACTGACCCAGAATATGAGATGTCAAGTGACAAAGATCTATCTCTTCTTGAATACTATTTGTATTTTGGGCACAACTATATGAGAGCACTTAAGGTGACTACTCTATTCAGGAGTACAGTAAAATAAAACATTGGATGTGAGGGAAAGTGTAAGAAGGAAAAAGATGTAATAGCATAAAATGACCACACAGGTAATGGAGGCAAAACAGCAATGACAATTATGACCTGCATTTCTCCGGCATTTTTCAGATCTGAATTGGATGACAAACAGCAGGATATTTATCATTTCCTTCATTGTGGTGGAAGTCCAGTCTGTTCATTTCCAAGCCTGCGTTCAGTGGGGATGCTCAAGGAGAGATCCCACTCTTCTCTGGAGCAATAGCTACCAGTGCAGTGATGTTCTGAGCTGTTGTACAGTGGCATTCCATTTAACACCTACAGGCATGGTGCCTTCTAGTCCCTGCAGTATAGTGTGCTTTATGCATAGCCTTCAGGCAAGACCACATGAAGGCATAGACCAACCCATGCCTAAGTTTTGTGCTGCTGAAGTAGACTTAGAACCTCAGCTTTCAAACAAAAAGGGAAGAATCCCATTTCAGTCTGTGGGGGCAAGTGGCAGTTTTCCAGCTGCAATCCCAGCAATACTGTTCCACATGCAGATAAACTTCTATGCGTAACCCAGGTGGCAGCCCAATAGTTGCCACCCCTGCCCAAATATCAGGGATGGTGTGGTGAGAGTGGGGCAGGGCTTCCGGACAGCACAAGTTTACTTTCCAGCTGGCCCCTGCTCCCCACAGAGCAGCCTGTGGTCCCAAGAAGGTCTAACACTTAACTGATTTAACTTTTTACACTTTATTTACAAAACAAGAATAATAGGAAAGGTTATTTACGAGTGAACTTAAATGACAACCAGAATCACAAGACAAACCAGAATGCATTAGTCAACCCTTGACTCAAGAACCACGGGTAGGGTAACTGGCAGCTTTCAGCCACTGCTGAGATGCTACAGCAAGGAAGCAAGGTGCTCACTCCCAGAAGCTCCAGCAGGCTTCCCAATAAGCAACAGACTGCAACAGCATAGGCTCTTCTGGTCTGCAACTATCAAATTGATCAAACCCCAACCCCCCCGAAGAGGCTGAAGGGTGACCCTCCGTGGCAACCAAAAAGGCAAGCAACAAGAAACAGTGTAGGCTCCTGCAGCAATTAGCATGACCCAAGCACAAAGCTCAGGGACTCCATCTGATGGCAATCAGCTGCAGAATAAGGGACAGGACTGAGTCCTCTCTGGGGCAGTCAGTGGCAGAAGGTCAACAGTACAGGCAGATCCCAGGGGTCGCTGCTCTAAACCCCTGCTCCAGATGACTGGCTGGGCACCCCACATGCCTCGTGCCTCGTCAATCCCACTCTGACCGCCGGCCTGCACCCTGAGCTCCCGGGGACCCTTGTCCTGGCACTCTGGTGCTCCTCAGAATCCCAGTGCCTTGCCTGCTGCTGTCCCACTTCCCCAGGGAAGGTGAGAGGTTTCCTCAACTCACCGGCCCAGCTCCCTGCTCCGGATAAGGATGCCACCTGGACTCCTGGCCACTGCCTCTTCTCCGCAGTGGAGTGGGGGGCTGACTGGCACCGCTAGCCTCTGGGACACCTGGCACGTC